GTTGGGTGCAAAAATGTTCTCCCAGTTGGTGGGGTTTCTCTTTGTTTTTTGTTATTGTCTCTTTTGCTGTGCAAAAGCTCTTAATTTGATGTAGTCCCAGCTGTTTATCTTTGCCTTCACTATCACTGCTTGGGTGATGTGTCTGTAAAGATGTCTTTGATGTGCAATCACGTAGTGTTTCGCCTATATTTCCTGCGTGTAGTTTATGGTTTCAGGTCTTATGTCTAGTCTTTAATCATTTTGAGTTGATTTTTGTGTATGGTGTGAGGTGGTGGTCAAGCTTCATTCTTTTGCATGTAGCGACCCAGTTTCCCAGCACCATTTATTGAACAAACTTTCTTTGCTCCAATGCATATTCGTTGCTCTTTGTCAAAGATTAGTTGACCATAAATCTGTGGGTTTATTTCTGGATTTTCTATTCGATTCCATTGGTCTGTATGTCTGTTCTTTTCCAATACCATGCAGTTTTTGATGATTATGGCTTGTAGTATAGTTTGAAGTCTGGGAGTCTGATGCTCCATTCCCTTCTTTTTTTCAGGAGAGCTTGGCTATTCGGGGTTTTTGGTGATTCCATATGAATTTCATCAAATGTTCTATTTCTTTGAAGAATGACATTGAAATTTTGATTGGAAATAGCATTGAATCTGTATATTGCTTTTGGTAGGATGGCCATTTTAATAATGTTTATTCTTCCAATCCATGAGCAGGGGATGTCTCTCCATTTCTTTGTGTCTTCTCTATTTCTTTTAACAGTGTTTTATAGTTTTCTTGTATAGGTCCTTACCTCTTTTGTTAGATTTATTCCCAAATATTTGATTTTTTTTGTTTCAATAACAAAAGGGATGGTCTTTTTGATTTCTTCTTCTTCAGATTTATTGTTTTGTATAGGAAGGCTACTGACTTTTGCGTGTGATTTGGTCCTGCCACTTTACTGAACTGATTGATGAGTTGAATAGCTTTTCTGTGAGTTTTTGGGGTTCTCTATGTATAATATCATATCGTCTGCAAATAGTGATAGTTTGACTTCTTCTTTTCCTATTGGGATTCCTTGGATGTCTTTCTCTTGTCTTATTGCCCTGGCTAGGACTTCCATATTATATGAAAAGCAAGGGGAGAGTGGACATCCTTGTCTTGTTCCAGATCTTAATGGAATTGCTTTCAGCTTTTTCACCATTGAGAATGATACTGGCTGTTGGCTTGTCATAGATGGCCTTTATGATGTTGAGGTATGTTCCTTGTATCCCAGAATTTCAGGGCTTTTATCATGATGGGTGTTGCACTTTGTCGAAAGCTTTCTCGCATCTATTGATATTATCATATGGTTTTATATTTCTTTTTGTTGATGTGTTGGATAACGTTGATTGATTTTCGGATATTAAACCATCCTTGTGCCCTGGAATGAATCCAACTTGGTCGTGGTATTATCTTATGATACATTGTTGGATTCTGATAGCTAAAATTTTTATTGAGGATTTTTGCGTCAGTGTCCATTAGGGAGATTGGCCTGTAGTTTTCCTTTTTTGTGTTGTCCTTGTTCGGTTTTGGTATTAGTGTAATGTTGGCTTCATAAAACGTGTTTGGTATTGTCCCTTCCTTCTCAATTTTTTGGAGAGAGTTTGTGAAGGATAGGCACTAATTCGTCTGTGAATGTTTGTAGAATTTCATTTGTAAATCCATCAGGTCCTGGGCTTTTGTTTTTGGGGAGGTTTTTTATTACCATTTCATTTCGCTAATTGTAATTGGTCTGTTTTAGGTGTTCTATTTCTTCTTTATCTAGCTTTGGGTGATTGTAGAGTTGTAGGAATTTGTCCATCTCCTCTAGATTGTTAAACTTGTTCCATATAACTGTTCATAGTAGTTACTGATTATTGTTTTGATTTCTGCTGTGTCCGTGTGATTTCTCCTCCTTTCATTGATGATCCTGTTTATTTGTGCTTTCTCTCCCTTTTTTCCTTTGTGAGCCTGGCTAGGGGTTTGTCTATTTTATTGATTTTTTCAAAAAACCAGCTCTTGGTTTCATTGATCTTTTGGATTGTTTTTTTAGTTTCAATTCATTTATTTCTGCTTTGGTTTTTATTATTATTCTTTTCTTCTACTGGTTTTGGGGTTTTTTTGTTGTTCTTTTTCTAGATCTTGAGCTTCGAGATGAGGTTGTTTCTTTGCGTTCTTTCTTGTTTCTTGATGTGAGCTTCTATTGCTATATATTTTCCTCTTATTACTGCTTTTGCTGCATCCCATACATTTAGGATATTAGTGTCCTCCTTGTTCAATTCAAAATTTTTTAATTTCTCTTTGATCTCCTCATTAGTCCAATGGTCTTCCAGTAGTGTGGTTTTTAATCTCCATGAGGTAGGAAAGTTCCTTGCCTTCTTTTTATGGTTTATTTCTAGTTTGATGCCTTCATGGTCAGAAAAGATGGTTGATATGATTCAATCTTGGTGTTCTGTTGATGTTTGTCTTGTGCCCCAGTATGTGATCGATCCTGGAGAATGATCCGTGTGCGCTTGAGAAAAATGTGTACTCCCGTTTTTTTGGGTTTAGTGTTCTATAGATGTCTGTTAAGCCTAATTGCTCTAGGTCCTTATTTAGAGCTTTGGTTTCTTTACTTATTTTTTGTCTTGTTTGATCTATCCATTGTTGATAGTGGTGTGTTGAAGTGTCCCACTACGTATGTGTTTTCTCTGATGTCTGTTTCAGAGGGACAACAGTTGTCTGATATATTTTGGTGCTCCTGTCGTTTGGTGAGTATATGTTAATGAGTGTTATTCTTCTTGAAGTATTGTCCCCTTGATCATAATGTAGTGACCATTGGGGTCTCTTTTTATCTTTTTGAGTTTGAAATCTGTTTTATCTGATATAAGTATAGCTGTTCCTGCTTTCTTTTTTGGTCCATTTGCTTGTAGGATTGTTTTCCATCCTTTAACTTTGAGCCTATTTTTATCTTTTGTAGCTAAATGTGTTTCCTGGAGACAGCAAAAGGTTGGGTTTTGTTTCTTAATCCAGGCTGCCACTCTGTGTCTTTTTATTGAAGAGTTTAGTCCATTTACATTTAGAGTTAATATTGATATGTTAACATCTGTATTTGCCATTGTGTTTGTCTTTCCTTTGATTTTATTTATTTATTCTTTTAATAACTTTTTTTTTTTTTTTTTGGCCTTCTTTCATTGTTATTCGTCCCTCTGAGTTTCTGGCTTTAGGACTCCTTGTAGTATTTTTTGGAGTGGGGTTTAGTTGCAATGAAATTCCGGAGTTTCTGTTTGTCTGGGAAGGTCCATATTCTTTCTTCAAAGAGGAAGGAGAGCTTTGCGGGATAGAGTATTCTTGGTTGGCATCTGTTTTCTTGGAGTCTGTTGACTATGTCCCTCCACTCTCTCCTTGCCGTAGTGTTCCTTCGGAGAAGTCTGATGTCAGCCTGATTGGTTTTTCCTTTGAATGTTATCTGTTTCTTCCCTCTTGTCAGCTTCATTATTTTTTCTTGTCCTGGATTCTTGGAGCTTTACTATTATGTGTCTGGCTGTATTTTTTCCTTTCGTCGTGGAAGTTTGGTGTTCTTCTTGCTTCTTGTATATCAATTTTCAGCTCCTTCTTCACATTTGGGAAGTTCTCTTCAATTATCTCTTGAATATTTTTCTCTGTTCCTACATCTCTCTCCTCTCCTTCTGGTATTCCTATAACTCTTATATTTCCTTTCCTCATGGAGTCAGATAGTTCCCAAAGTCTTTCTTCGTTCTTTTTCCTTCGTACTTCTCTTTCCTTTTCTGTTTTGGTTCTTTTTATTTCTGTGTCTTCAAGATTACTTATTCGTTCTTCCATTTCATCTATTCTGCTTTCATTGCTTTTCCCAGAATTCTTTAGTTCTTCCATTAATTCTTTGATCTCCTGCATTTCTTTTACTTCCCTCTTTAGGGACTCAATTTCTTTCTTCTGACCATTGTTTTCCCTCTCTAGGGACTCAATTGCATTCTTCTGATCGTTGATTATTTTTCCCTTATCATTGTTTTCCTTTATGACTTCTGTCAGTTTTTTAATCACGGCAATTTTAAATTCTCTTTCTGGAAGGCTCAGAAATTCTTCCAAGTTATTGTCTTTGCAATCTGGGGGCTGGCTTTCTTTTTGTGGTGTGCTTTTTCTCTGGAGAGTTGCTAGGTTGCGTGTGGTTCTTCTCCTCCCTACT